TGAGGTGGACAACCCAGGTGCCACCAACAGAGTGCACTTCTGCATGTCTGTGTGACGAATCGTCGTCACTCTCCTGAAAAGGGGTGGCTGGCTGACTCCTCCTAGGCCACTGGTTGCCTCCCCACCAGCTCAGGGCTGGCTTCTGTGTGGCAACCCACGGCACCCCTCTGCACCCCCGAGTTCTACACAAGAACCACCAGAGCCGCACCTGCTCTGTGCTCCTGGAAGACAAGGTGGCCCGGGCCTGGCAGGTGGGGATCCTGTAAGCTGCAGTAAGAGCCTTGAGCCAGCCCAGCCTCCCCTGCCACGAGCCACATGCCCATTCTCTCAGGCCCATGTTGGCCACCCTGGGCCCAAGCCCAGGCCATGTCCCTTCCTGTCTGCCAGCGCAGCCCCGGGAGCCCTGGCCTCGCGTCTCCTATTTTTAGCCTGCGGTTCTGCAGAGCCTGCCCGTGTACGGCACAGAGCAGCCTCCTCAGGAGGAATTCTGGGCCAGACAGGATGAAGTCCGTGACTCTGGCCAGTTCAAAATGCGGAGGAGAGACTGGGGCCAGAGGCTCAGAGGAAAAGATGGTCCTTGACCTGATTTAATACTTTGAGAAAAGAAGCTAATCTGCTCCTGGGAGAAGCCTGGCGACATGCGGTCCCCTGCAGGAGCCGCCTCCCCAGGAGTGCCCCCTCACGTGGGCCTGGCGTTGGTCCCCAGGTCCTCTGTTTGGAGTGCACTTTAGATGGTGGCTCCAGTCCCCTCCTGTTACAGAGGAGCACGGGGACGGGAACGCAGCCAGAGTGAGTGGAGGGGCAGGGTGTGGACAGGGCTCCCAGCCCCAAGCCCTGTGGTGCCAGCGAGGACCACCCTTTCATTCCTTCAACAGATAAGGAAGAAGACCAGTGTCTGCCACGTGCCTTTCTGTTTTGGGTACCGGGCACCACGGTGAGCAGGAAAGCCAGGGCCAGTTTCCTGGAGCTTCCTGGAGGAGAGGCAGAGACAGTTAATGACTAAACAAGTCAACAAGAAAGCTTCAGACCAGAGGAGGAGGCCTGTGAAAAGTGCATGCTGACGGGCAGTTGAGGCCCTTTGCTGGGTGGTCAGGGCAGCCTCTCTGGGGAGAAGGCCAAGAGACCGTCAGGAAGGAGCTGCAGGTGGGGAGCCACGGTGCAAAGGACCTGGGGGCAGGGACAACCAGGACAGTGGTGGAGGAGGGGCAAGCTCAGGGCCCCGGAGACCTGTTCCTGCTCAGCGTCTGATCAAAATTCCCCTTTTCTCCTGAGTCTAAAGAGAAGCCACAGGCCAGCAAAGGGCAAACCAAGTGGAGATGTCCCCCACCAGCCTCGTCACAGCAGGGTCTGAGCCTGGCCTGAGAGCGTGTGGACACAGGGGCCCGACGGGAACTGCAGGAGAGAGTGCTGGCCTGGGGAGGCGAGGAGAAGGCACAGCCCCACTGACCACAGGACATGCCCACTGGCTGGGGCTGGGTGTCAGGTGGAGAGGACAGACTGACCCTCCTCATGAGTGGGAGCCACTGGACGGGGCCCCAGGGAACAGGCATCTGAGAAGTGGAGGCCTCCATTCTGCCTAAGTTAAGGGGGAGACACCCACTAGCTGCCCAGACAGACATCGGGGTTTCTAAGTGAGGAGACCAAGGCTCAGGGTGTCAGCTGTGTCCATTCACAGCAAGACAGGGCCACACCAGCCTGTCGGCTCTGAGCCTGGCTCTGCCTGCCCAGGCTGGCTGTCCACCGAGGGGCCTGGAGGGGCTCCCGGGCTGCCAGGGCTCCGCTCGTCCCCAGGCCCACCTGAACTGATTCTCGTTGCTCTGAAGAGGCTGCATTGCTGCCTAGTGGTCCTGGGGGGGAGTGGGGAAGGAGCGGGCAGACCAGGCCCTTCCTTCCGGAGGCCCCTGCCCTCCGGTGCTCACCTTGCCATGACTGAGCTGAGGGCCCCACGCCAGACCCCACTTCCTCCAGACCCCTGTGCCCTCCTGGGTCACCCACTGTGTCCCTGGGGCCTCTCTGGGAGCATGGTGGAGCAAGCACAGCGGGAGCAAGGGCCATCAGAGCCCACACTTCACTGTGGTCCTCCAGCCCTGCCTCGGCGGCTGTCTGCGAAGTCTCACCTCCCACGCTCCAGCGCCCTCCTGCGCCCGCAGACCCAGGTCCCGGGGCCAGCTCCTCTGGGGCTTCCACTGTTCCTGCCCCCCCGGCAGCCTTGCTCAGCAGGGCTCCGGAGAGGAGGCCACTCCCCTTCCCCAAGGTTGGCAGGCAGCTGGTTCTGGTCCCAGGTCCGAGAAGTGAGCCAGCTTCAGCCCCGGTGTTAGGACAGTGGCTTTGGGGGCTGCGAGTGCAGCCTGGGCACAGCTATGCAGCAGCAGTGTCCTCTCCAGGACGGCTCAGTCACTGGCTGCCACTGGGCTGTTATCATGAGATGTATTTTCACCGTGTTCCCTAAGCAGCACCCTGTGGGTCCCCAGGGAGCCAACCAGGGTGTTCTTTGGAACTCGGGAACTGTGGCACTCTCTGGAGAAAGCAAGCCTGCCCTGCCCGCTGGGGAGACGGGCTTCCGGGCAGCGTCACGGGGAGGCGTGGTGTGCCTGGGCCAGGATCTGACCTGCTGGTGCCGCAGGAGCTGCCCCCTGAGACCGGAAGGAAGTGGCCACTGTGGAGCTCAGAAGCCCACTCACTTGGCAGCCGGTTGGTGTAGGGGTCAGGAACAAGGGTGGAGTGACCAAGTGTCCCAGTAGGCCTGCACTGCAGGACAGGCACACTGGCAGACTAGGGACAGACAGCTAGACCTGCGCACTGACCCTTCTCCATCATTGCCCTCCCTGCAGGGGGCATCAGGGAGGCCAGTCATTATAGCCACATGTCCCAGCTCTGGTAGGAGCACCCACAGGGCCCGCCAGGTCCTCTCTCAGCCTAGCCCCTCACCCCGTCCCACCTGGGAGGTCAGGCCCACCGTGCCAGTTCTGCAGGTGAAGTGGAGGAGGCTTCAGCTGGCGGAGCAGCAGGTCAGAGGTGAGGCTGAGACCCCCCCAGGGTCCAGCCCCATGCACATGCCTGCTTCCCGGCCAGCCATCAGGCCCACGCCCCTCCTCCTCTTAGAAAAGGACAGGGGAGGAGTCCACCAGGAGCTGTGTTCATGGGAACGATTGCTTGCAGGACAGTGACTCTCCAGCTTCGTCATCCTGTCTTCCCTGGGGCTGTGCAGAGCTGGGCTAGGACGGGTGGACGGCAGGGGGCCATGGCAGAGTCTGCGGGAAGCACAGAGAGCAGAGGCGCCCTGAAGCAGCCGTGCTCCCCTGACTCGCGCGCGCCCCCTCCCTCCCTCAGCAGCACCAGCCACGTCCCAGCTTGTTCAAGAGCGTCAGACTGCACCGGGTTGGGTTCACCACTCAGGGGACATTCATAGAGCAGAGGTGAGGGGTGCTGAGGACCCACAGGTACCTCCCTGTGCTGGGCCACCTGTCACATAGCAGCACTGTCCTCAAGTCTCAAGTCCCTCAGACACTTACCATGTGGCAAGATGGAGCTTTGCTGGTGTCGCGGCTGACCTCTCCAGAGGGGCATTTCTAGAACAGGATGTGGTTATCTCCTCATAGATGGCAGTGTTGGCCTTGGCTGCACCTGACAGGAGTCTCAGGCCCCACAGACAGAAAGGGCCGTGAGCGTTGGGTTCCTCTGACACTCGCTCTGGCCTCACCAGAGCCCGGCAGCTAGTGGAAAGAACGGCCTGTCCTCTTGGCTGCCCGATGTGTGCCAGACACTGCTGGAGGTGCTTATGTGTGCTACAGATAGACCTGTGGGCAAGGGCTCAGCCCCAAGCAGATGCCAGCCTGGCCAGATTCAGCTCAGGCGGCCCTGTCTAAGGTGCAGCAGAAGCAAAGTTTTGAGGGCAAATCATAGCCTTAAAAATATATAAAGGAAAAGAGAAAGGTGTCCTCTTCCTTCTGGCCCAAGTCTTGGCTGACTGGCCTGTTCTCTTTCACTGTGAACTTTCTCAACACTGGGGCTTGTTCACCTCTGTCCTTATCACACTGGCTACAGGTGCTGGCAGGGTGCGAGGGACAGTCAGTGTTGGCGTGACGGAGCTCCCGAGTCATTTCCGCAGCTCCTCCTACTCCTGCGTAGCTGGTGCCATGGAGGCCTTGCCTTGTAGATGGGGAGGGACACAAGTGCAGCCACTGAGGGGGAGGTGTAGGGCGTCCCCCTGGGGACGTTCGAGGATGTGGCTGTGGGCCGACGCTGGGCCAGCTCGGGGCCCTGCCAGCCCTGAGCCTGGCCTCTGCCAGCCACTCACTCCTTGCCTTGGTGGTGCTTTCACCCGAGACGGCTGCCATTTCCCCACCAGCCCCGGCATGGCACGGCCCCTGGCTGGCCCCACACCTGCCCAGCCCAGAATGGGAGCACTTGACCTGAACGGCTGGCTTGGGAACAGGGGCAGGAGCCCAAGCCACCGTAAGGAGGGGAGCGCTCTCAGAACTTGGCCTGTGCCTCCTACCAGGTCCCAGGCCCTGCCCCCAGGCCATCCTGCTGGCCCAGGTCCCGTGAGCAGGTGGGAGTGAGGGCATTGCTCCTCCCAAGGGCCAGGTGGATCTCCCTGAACCCAGCCTCCTCCGGGGCCTCTGCCAATCATTCCTGCACTGGTCTCCTGCCTCCCTGTGGTCACTGTGGGTCCAGTCAGGTGCCGGCTGCCCTGCCTGGCTCTTCCCCATTCCCACCCCGTGGTTTCTGACCCTCACCTGGACCAGGGGAACCCTGGAGAGCCCCGGGAACGGTGGGTAGGGTCAGCCTTTGTACGTGGCAGGGTTAGGAGCGCCCACGGTGCCCCAGGCCGAGGACGGGGAGCGCTGTACTCTGCCCCGCGGTGTCTCTGCCAGACCCTGCTTCAGAGGGCGTCCCGCCCCGGGCTCTGTACCCAGCCTGGCCTGGAGGGGCCGGCCGCGTGCTGGGGGAGCAGGGAGGAGGGGTGAGCGCCGCCTCTAACCTCCTGTCCCTTGCAGACGTGCTGGTGGACGGACAGCCCTGTGACTGCGAGAAGGCGGCGGCCTGCCGGGTGGGCGACCCTGTGAGCCTGGAGGTGCGGCTGACCAACCGGAGCCCGCACAGCGTGGGCCCCTTCGCGCTCACGGTGCTGCCCTTCCAGGACCACCAGAACGGTGTGCACGACCGCGAGCTGCAGCACACGCTGTCCTTCGTGGGCTCCGGCACCTTCTACCTCGATGCGGTGCGTGGCGGCTCAGCGGGGCCTCCGGCTCCTGGCCGTGCAGCCCGGGTCTCCGTGGCTGACCTCCCTGCCCCGGGTGCTGGGCTGCAGGGTCAGCCCAGATCAGCAGACAGGGCTCCTCTCGACACGTTGTAACCCTGTGCCACCTGACCGGGGTCTAGGAGGCCAGGACGATGGCCGCACCTCCCTCAAGGCCGGGCCAGGGAGCACTGGAGTGCGCTTAGACCCAGTGCTCCTGTCCTCGGGGTGCCCTCACTCCCAGACCAGCAGCCACTACACACCAGGTCCCCGAGCACTGAGGGCTCAGCTCAGATTCTAGCCCTCGTCCCCCACACCCGCCTTGTCAGGCCTGAGCACAGCGTCCTGCTCCACCTGCTGCACTCCAGCCACCCCCACAATGCAGCCCATACTCCTGACTCACAGAACCCCCAAACAGCTCAGAGAGGGAAATGCAATCGTCTTCTTTCAGAGATGAAAACCGGCTCGGAGAGGTATAGCAACTTGCCCAAGGCAGCACAGCAAAGAAGTCTGGGAGAGGGCATGGGAGCCAGGCCTGGGTGGGCTGACCCGGGCTGTCCCTCCCTTCCCCGTGTCCTGCTGCCTGGGCAGGCTCAGGGCACTCCTGGTGGCTTTGGGGTTGGTGTTGGTAATATGGGCTGACGTCCCTTCCTCCTCCCACACAGGTACAGCCCTCAGGCCAGGCGTCCTGCCTCGGGGCCCTCCTCTTCCTCTACACCGGGGACTTCTTCCTGCACATCCGGTTCCACGAGGACAGCAAGAGCAAGGAGCTGCCGCCGTCCTGGTTCTGCTTGCCCAGTGTGCACGTGCGCGCCCTGGAGGCCTAGGCCTGAGTCCCCTGCTGGCCCCAGTCCCTGGGACAGGGGAGGCCGGCCTCCACCCCACCCCACCGCAGGCCTGAGGCCTTCCTGCAGCTGCCCTCTCCTCCTCCCCCCTCACACCCTGTCCTCTCTCCCTTCTCCTGGGGAGTCCGCTGGGCTTCCCAGGAGCCCCGCTGGGCCCTTGCCCTCTGCCCACACTGTGCGGGGGCCCTCAGGAGCTGACCAGGCCCCAGGCCAGTGCGGGGAGCGCTGCACCTGCTCCGGACAAGCCCCACACCGCTCACCGCTGGAGCCCGTCCCTGCTCCCGCCCTGGCCATGGGAAGGCAAGCATGAGGGTGGGCACCCCAGAGGGCCTGGGCACCTCCCTGCCAGCCACCTTTGGCCCTAGGAATGTCCTGAGGGCCAGCTCTCTCCTTGGAGGCTCTGAGGGCAGCCCAGGCAGGGCGAAGACGTCATGGCTGTGCCAGGCTAGGCCTGGGGCTCCCCACCTGGGCGGGGTTCTGTCTGGGAGCCGGCCCTGGGTCCCTGTCTGTGACGCGTTCTCCAATAAAGAGTCTCCCTCGCTGCCTCTGCACAGCGCTGGTCTGCTCGCTGGGGCCCGGCGGGCAGCAGGCAGGGCCACCCACCCAGCACAGCCCCGCCTCAGGTGAGGAGGTGGGCCAGGGCCAGCGCCTTGAGCCAACGTGGTCGGTCGCCCAGCGTCGCTGTGTCCCTACAGTAGGGCTCCCAGGTCACTTCCCCCGTGTGCTCGCTGGGCCTGCCCCAGAGCCCTCGCAGAACCGGCCAGAGCCCCACACCACGCTCCTCCGCCCTGAGCTCCCGGCTGGCCCTGGCTGGCCCGGCCTCTTGCTTTCCCTGCTGAGGGCCACTTGACCCGGCCCATCCACACAAGTGCTCCTGGAACACGCCTGCAGCCCAGGCACAGCGCTGCCCCAGGAGCTCAAGGTCCACCCAGGGCTGCCACCCAGCTTGCCCAGCACCTGCCTCGTGAGCCAGTCCACTCTGCAAGCAGCTTTGCAGGCCAGCTGCCACCCAGAGGCCCCACCAGTCCTGCCTGCCCACTGGTCTTGGCCGGGCAGGGGCAGCTTTCCAATCACACGGAGCTGCCAGGGGAGCTGAGGGCCCTGCTCTCGGCCCACCCCGTTGGCCCTGCCCACAGACGCTGCTGCCCACAGACCCTGCTGCCCACAGACGCTGCTGCCCACGGAGCCGCCCTCCACTGGCCTCCAGGGAGCCCAGAGCAGGCAGCCAGCTTGGAGCCACTGGCCGTGCTTGGCTTCTCAGCAGGACCAGGCTCAGCTGCGGTGCGGTTCTTAGCTTGAGTCCCCCACAAGCGAACCCCAAGACAGGGACTTGGGCACTGACAGCTTGTGCCGGAGGTTGAGGGACATCCCCAGGGGGTGCGAGTCACAGGGAGGGGGTTAACAATAGAGGGTGGCCCTGAGTTCCCAGGACGGGCCCCTGGCACCGACTTCCTCAGGAGGCTTGGGGAGGGGAGCCCGGCTGCTGGGCACCGTCAGGGGTGAGGGATGGCTGACTACGCGCACACACCGACTCCGAGCCACTTGAGGCCACTTCCCGCCCAGGCAGCTCCAGTCGGCCAGGTTGCCACCTGCGCGAGCAGCTGGGTCCTGGAGATGGACCTCAGGCGTCCCTGGATGCCGAAGCTCCCAGAGCACAGTGGGCGGAGGGCTCCGTGGAGCAGAGGGAGTGGGTGGCCGCAGGAGGCCTGAGGGCTGGGGGCGCTTCCCAAGTACCTGGACTTCCTGATCCCCAGACCTGAAGGATGGGATTCTCGGCTGCCCGCCTGTGGCCTTCTGATGTCATCCAGGGGTGTTGCAAGGTGGTGGGTCAGTGGCACGTGGGTCACAGTGCCCGCTAGCTGCCCGTTGGTCTCTCAGCTTGAGGCTACGGGGGGACGCGGCCCAGAAGGCCTGCTTGGCCCAGGTGTCAGGACCCAGGGGAGGCCTCCGAGAGGGGTGACCTGGCTTATCGGGATGCTCCTAAACGGGCCCAAGCACTCTCTCTGCCTCAGTGTGCACAGATCCCCAGACACGCTGCTGAGTGAAGGTCAGGGGGTGGGGTGGCCACAGGCCCACCTGCTGCAGGCACCGGCCCCATCGCCCTCTCTGCTTCAAGAGACTTCTATAAAAACATGTTGAGGAGTGTGACCGATGACCTTCCTGGGGTTACAGTGACACCGCACCTGGTGTCGGAAGGAGGACGCAGGTCATGGGGACTTCAGGAAGCACGTGCGGTTGGGAGGGTGGAGACACAGGCTCATGTAGAAACCTCGCAGAGCTGATGGGGGATCCCGGCGGAGTTTGGTTCCAAGCAGGAAGCACGTTGGTGATGGTTTCCAAACACAGAACACCCAGGTGACCTCAACCCCATTCCTGAAATTCTGCCATCCCCCGGGACCCTTACGTGTGACACTGCCGTGCTCTGTGCTCCTGTGTGGGTTAATTCGTCCACAACATGAAGCACTTCAGAGCAGAACTTCCTAACACAAGCTCACATGGCGCGGGCCTGCACAGAGAAGAGGGACTCCTCAATGGAGACGTCCCTAGAGGCCTGGCCACGGGCCAGTTTTGAAAGATTCGGGCGTCACATGGGGCCCTCAGCCTGACAGCTCAGAAAACCTGTGTCACTATGACATCTTCAGAGCCAGTCCCAGTTCCAATAATCAGGGCTTCAGAAGGTTGAGGCTCACATGGTCACCTGGCTCCCAGGGCCACTGAAAAACGTTAAGGGATTAAGACAAATAATAAATATAGAACAAAAGAGGCTATCCACATAAGGGACGTACAGTGGCCTTCCTGCTAAACACAACTAAAAAAGACAGGAGTCACCTCAACAAACAGGCGACAACAGCAATGAAGAGCCCCATGTCAGTGAGCAGACAGCTAGGACACTCGGCCCAGGTAGCGGGTCCCGAGACGGGCCACACACCGACTCTGATCAGGACTCCTGAGGAAAAGAAGAGGGGATGGGCGTGACACTAAAATACACGATTCACACATCATGGTGTAATTTGAGAAGACCAGATGAAATGCAGCGACCTTAAAGGGAGATAGAAAGACAATGACCTTCAAAGAAGTGGTGATTTGATTGACAGCTCCCTTCGTGATATCTGAGAGTGCACTGAGTGATGATGATGCTTTTCAATAGGTGTAATAAACTTCCCCAAAACCGTCCTCCAGCACAAAAGCTGCATTAAAGGGAGTGCAAACAGGACTTAGAGGCAGAAAGAAATTGATACAGGAGCTGGGGGTGTCGCTCAGTTGGTTGAGTGCTTGCCTCACATGCACAAGGGGGCCCTGGGTTCAATCCCAGCACTACACACACACACACACACACACACACACACACCAGATGGAATGTCAGAGACACAAAAAAGAAAGAACAAATACAGCAAAATCACATGGAAGTTGGTGAGGGATCGTTGGGATCCAGGTGTAGGGTGCTTTGATTTCAATCTCAAAGGTTCTGGAAGAGGGCGAAGATAATGATTGACAGACTTGGGACTTGGTGCTTTAGTTATGAAAGTTACCGTTTCTAGAATAACTATTAAGAAAATGGAAAAAACAAAATAGCTTCTAAATTAACACACCCAAAACCAGGAATAAGGCAAACTAATCAATCAGTCCAAAAGAAGGCACAAGAAGGAAAACTAACTGAAGAAATAGAAATGACAGAAAAAATACAACCATGACATAATGATATTAATAATGTTGATAGTAATGCTTACAGTTAAATAGCTCTATGTGTTAGGTGTTATTCTGATTTTATATATATATATATATATATATATATATATTTGTATGTATACACCATATCTAAGCATATACATATGTATACACATATATTTATGTATATGTGTATATACACACACATATATATGTCCTCTTTTTTAATATATTTTTAGTTGTAGATGGACACAATACCTTTATTTTATTTACTTATTTTTATATGATACTGAGGATTGAACCCAGTGCTTCACATATGCTAGATGAGCACTCTACCACCAAGCCACAACCCCAGCCCCTAATATTTCATTTAATAAAGGTGTGGACTCCTTCCTTATATGATAGATAAATAGATATAGATATATAGAGATAGATTACAGATATATATCTATCAACTGGACCTGGTATTGCACGCCTGTAATCCTAACAACACAGGATGCTGAGACAGGAGGATCACAAGTTTGAGGTTAGCCTGGGTAAGTTAACGAGACCTTGTCTCAAAATGTAAAACAAAAAAGGAGAACACAGATGCAGCTCAGTTGTAGAGTGTTTGTCTATCATGCACAGGGCCTTGGGTTCAATCCCCAGTACTGCCAATAAAAAAGAAACCCCCTCCAAAAATACATGCATCAGTTATTTTTCTCAATTGTAAAAGAATCCATACTAAGTCTTTAAAGTAGATGATATTATTATTCCCATGTTACAGATTAGAAAAAAATGAGATATTGTGCCAATATTTCATAAAAGCTAGAAAGATTACAAAATAAGTTGTAAAAATAAATTAAATACACTTATTTCCAATAAATGAAAATCAGCTAAATATTCCAGGTGAAAGACTAGATAAAATCAGGGTTATAATGTTTAAAAATAAATATTGAAACATAAGGATACAGAAAGTTGATATAAAATGGTAAGAAGTATCAGCAAATCCTAATAAAAAAATTTTAAGGCAATATCTAGAAATAAAGAATAACAGCATGATGATAATTGACAACTCACTAAGAAGTTATAATAATTCTAAATACATATGCAACCAATAATATAGTCTCAAATATATAAAGCAAAACATGACAGAACTATAAGTGGACATAGACTAACCCCCTATATTGAAAAACCAAGACCACAAAGGTATGAAAAAATCTGAAGGATGTAGGAAGGACATAGAAGTTTTGAAATTTTAGTAAATGAGTTTGACTTAGTTTGACTTATTTTACTTAACAGCTATAGGTATTTCTATCAAGGACATATGTTGTGATTTGGTTAATGGCCCAGTGTACAGTTGAAAGACTGTTATCATGCAGATCACTTTTTCTGAACCAAATATGTTTAAGAAATCAATCACAAGAAGATAATTATAAGCCTCATGTTTTGGGGCATTAAAAAACACTTTTTGATAACTCACATTTGCAAGATATAGTAACCAGGGAAAATGGGAAGTGTAGAGAATAAACAACAATAAAGGTATGCATAAAACTTGTGTGATGCAGATAGGTCAGCATCTAGTGGGAGGGTCATAAAGTTTCAATGCTTATAATCAAGAGGGACGGGTGAAGGTTAATGAGCTGAGCACCTTCCCCAGGAGTTGAAAATGCAGGTTGAAGAGATTAAAGAAAATAGAAGGATATAATAAAGATAAGATCATAAATTAATAAAATAGAAAAGAAACACATAATAGCAAAGTCAAAGGTTATTTCTTGAAAGAGCTGATAAAATAAAGAAAGCTCTGACTAAATTAATAATGAAAAGGCACAAATGACCACATCACAAATGGAGAGGGGACATCAGATACTGCAGCGGTGCTGGGAGGATATTAGAAACCTGACAA